GAGAGAAGCAACTTAGAACTGAGGAGGAATTTCCTGACAGTTAGAACAATCAATCAATGGAACAACTTGCCTCCAGAGGTTATGAATGCCCCAAAACTGGAAGTCTTTAAGAAGATGTTGGATAGCCATTTGTCTGAAACGGTATAGTTTTTCCTGCCTAGGCAGGGGGTTGGACTAGAAGACCTCCACGGTCCCTTTCAACTCTGCTATTGTATTGTATTGTATTGTAACTGAATGGATCTGACTATTTATTGGCCAGATGCCCTTCCTATTGCCAATGCTGAGTTTTTTTTCCAGCAGATATATTCTCATTGTGCCCAGAGAGAAATATATTTTGTTACTGCGCCAAAGAACTGCAGAATATTGCTTTTCCATATTTGACCATGCTAAATCTCACCTGGACCATAATAGCATTTTTAAAATATGTTTTTCTTTTTCTCTCTCCAAGGAAGGAACGCCTCGTCTACGTGGGCATTAGCATCGAGAACATCATTCCTCCGCAGGTAAGTGAAACATATCTCCTGATTTCTTATTGAGTTTACGACCTATACTGCTGAAAAGCATAAAAAAATTCTACCCGGGAAAAAGCAGAATTGGCAACGTCGGTATTAGTTGTAGGTATTTGCCTCCTTGTTTTTTTAATTATTTTTTTCTTCTGAAATATTTGGTTCCTGCTATTTGGGTTTGGGGTGGGGGAGATGGGATCCCCTTTTGCGACCTTCCGACAAGCAAAGTGAATTGGGAAGCCAGATTCACTTAACAACCGGGGTTACTACTAACTTAAAACAGTTTGCAGCGATTCACGTAAGAAATGTGGCCAGAAAAGTCGTAAAATGGGGCTCAACTCACTTAGCAACCATCCCGCTTAGCAATAGTTGTGGTTGTAAAGCGAGGACTCCCTGGTATTTCCATTAACACAAGGCAGGATTGAGGCGGAGCATAAATGGCTGCAGAGTAGAAGGAAGTTGTGACCTTGGCTGCAACAGATGTCGTGTATCTGAAAGGCGTTCGTGTTTTTCAATAGGAGCCGGAAATTCCAGAGCCTGTCGATGAAAAGAAGAAAGAGTCCAAAAAATCAAAGACGAAGCTGCTCGAAAGGAGGTCTACCAGGCAGCGGAAGTGTATCAGCTACAGGTAAATCTATATGCGCGTGTGCGCCTCGAGCAATTTCAACCAAACTTGGTAGACAGATGACTTACTCTCTTGAAAAAAAAAATACTGTGGGGGTTAAGACACCCCTAACAGCCCTCCGAGTATGTCCGTGTGTGTCCCCGTGTGTGTGTGTTCCAGCATAACTCTGGAACGCCTGGCCCGCTGAAATAAAAAGGACTGAATTATATCTATAGTGTCGTCACTGTACTTTTGACAGCGATAGTGTGCATTTTGTATTCAAGCTCTGTCAAGATACAGCCTGTTGTGCCTTGTGGCTTCTACTGTACAGCACAGTGGAGTTGCCGTGGTAACAGCTTCCCAGTACTCCACAAGGGGGCTCCCTCTAATACAGGATTGGGATAAATACGTATCAGGTTATCAGCTAGTTACTAATAAAAGAGAACATTTGTAACTCAGTGGGAGTCCTTGGTGATCTCCGAGCTTGGTTGTTTTCTTGCAGACATTTCGTGACCCAACTAGGTACTTGTACTTGACGCCTCTTCACCCAACGTGGGTATAGGCGACTTCCATGGAAATTTGACGCCACTGTTTTCGGTCCTGAGCTAGGGTTGTCAGGTGGTGCAGCCAGTCGCTATTATATGATTTTCGGCTAAGATTGAATGGGCGCATGACTATATCTTCGGCTTTCCGTTTGAAGTGACGCAGAGTGGTTAGACGAACACCTCCTTTTGGCCGTTTCTTGCACATTGAGGCAACCGATATTGTTTAGCCCTAAAAAGGACTGATTGGAATGGATACGGCGATCCATAGAAGCTGTTTCGGCTGGATATACCCAAGGGGGTGCCAGTCCCAAGGGTCGACAGAGCCCGATTGGTGGGAACGGGGGGCACCACGTGAAGGCCGGGTTGTCGTTTGATAGCTGAGAGGCTTTGCAATAAGTGTTGCAATGTATATTTTGCGCATCAGCTATCCTTGCCCACCCCCCAACTAGGATACATCATCCTGAGTTGCACGAACTAAAGACAGGATAGAAATCAAATAAGTAAAAGCGAGCGATATCCCGGTTTCATAAAGGAGATCCTGTGCGATTGCTAAACCAAGTTGCTATCGGTTGACACATAGTCGCCGTCGTCATCATCGTTCTGAATTCCCATTTCTGCAGGTTTGATGAGTTTGATGAGGCCATCGATGAAGCCATAGAAGATGACATCAAGGAGGCTGATGGAGGAGGTGAGCTTTGCGGGGGGGGGGGGGCGCTATCCCCTTGGGGGAAGCCATGGTGGCACAGTGGTTGGAATGCAGTACGGCAGGCTAACTCACTGCTCACTGCCAGCAGTATGACCCTGACCGGCTCAAGGATTCCTTCCATCCTTCCAAGGTGGGTAAAATGAGGACACAGATTGTTGGGGGCAAAAGGCTGACTCCGTAGAGAGCTTAGAGGGGGCCTTAAGGCACTGTGAAGTGACATATAAGTCTAAGTGCTATTGCGACGGAGGGAGGGAGGGAGGAAGGAGCCATGGGGGTGCAGCGGTTAGAACGCAGTATTTCAGGCTAACTCTGCCCCACAGCCAAGAGTTCGATCCTGACCAGCTCAAGTTTGACTCAGCCTTCCCTTCCATATGGAAGGGAGATCATGGAAGCAGGGGAAGAGAAGCGTAGGGTGTAAGACCGCCTACGGTGGTTCATTGTCGCCATCCTCTTGACACTCCCTCCCCACCCCCACCCCCAACCTAGGTGTCGGGAGAGGGAAGGACATCTCTAACATCACGGGGCATCGAGGCAAGGATATCTCCACCATTCTGGAGGAAGAAAGGAAGGAAAGCAAACGGCCCCCCAGAGCCGCTGCCCTCCGACGCAAGAAACGGCGGCGACTGAATGACCTGGATAGTGACAGCAACCTGGATGAAGAAGAGAGTGAGGATGAATTCAGAATCAGTGAAGGGTGAGGCATTTTGTAATCTCTTATATTTCCTCCCTCCCTCCCTTCTTCCCTCTTTCTTTTTCTTTCTTTCTTTCTTTCTTTCTTTCTTTCTCACTCCTTTCCTCCTTCCTTTCCTATTTCTTTCTTTCTTTCTTCCTCCCTGCCT